ATGCATATTGAGTAACGTTTTACTCGTATAAAAGCGGAAGAAATGTTCTGATCCCACTTTATTGGTTTCGGACGATATCGTTACGTTTTATGTCATCGATTTTAATTTACGCTTAATTATTACGTAACATGGTAAAAAAACTGCACGTTTTATTCACGAGCTAAGTTTTTTGTGGCATGATATAATTTATAAGCCGTTTTCCGCCAATCGCATAACTCTGCAACTAAGCCAGTCAGACGGCGTTAATCTTGGGCGTAAGCCGTAACAAGTGTTACGCATTTCTCAGTTTTTCAGTTTTCTTTTCCTTGGCCATTGTAGTTGTATGCCTTAACGGTCTATCTAGCAAATCAGGAATGGCTAATCTTAAAAAATACAAATGAACCTTGGTAACTCAAAAATGACTGGATAAATTCGGCTAATTTACTTTTTTGTATGAAAAAAAAAAGAACGTCTCCCGGACAGCTAGTTTCATAATAAAATCAACATCGGCGCTAAATAGATTACCCCATGATGATAGAGAATGGTAGTGGTGTGTCCCGAACCTTACTTCTCTTATTTTACTTTTATCAGAACAATTATGATCGTCCAAAAATTATTCGTAACATTTTTACGGAATTTTTGGTTTGAAGTTATATGAGCATACTTGGTAAATCGAATCAAATGAAATCATGATTTTAATAGTTTCGTTCGTTTAATGGGTATTAATTTTAAATGTCTGAAAATTTTTTAAAGTTATTTTCTATTCAAACTACTCGTCGTCAACCCGAAAATAAGATTGCAAAAACATTCAGTGTTATTTTCCGTATACATATTACATGCTATAAATGAAGTTTCATAAGGCATTCTTGGAATTTGAATCTAGAAACGTCTGTAGTCGATATTTTTTTAAACAGATGACGATGCGATTTTTCTGCAGAATTGTTCCGTGTGAATTTTAAATTTAGGTTGATGCTTCGTTTTGCTGTTTTTAAAAGTATAAGCGATTTTTTAATTTAAAACTCCTTCAAATAATGAGACGTAATTATTTCAAGAAGTTGATTAGTTATAAATAGAAGTCATTTTAATGACAACATCATCGTTAAAAGGTGACCACGAACTGCTCGGAATTGTGCAAAAATTGTGCAATTAAACGCTAATTTACTTAACCTCCGCCGCCGCTTGCATAACGTTCAACTTATTGTTGCAATTGTTCGCTTCAACATTATTTTCACTTGTTTGGGCTCGTGGCTCCGCGTGGATGGATATCGTAATAGGACAATAAATACCATATTTTTGCAATGATGTATCCCAGTTATCATCATCCTCCTGCCCATATCCCACCAACTTCGGGTCGGTACAACGCGTAAGTCATGTTGTAAGCGGTTTTGGCTATGATTTTTACTATCGGCCTGTATGAGCTACGCTCGACATAATTGCGTAACGGCGTCAATTGCACGCCTCATCATTTTTGTCTTAGTGTAAAATAATCGGCTTTAAGTTCGCAGTTCGCTGTCAGTCATCAAGCATGTCACGCGTTCTCATTTATCAGTATCAAGTAGTTTATTAATTTTCGGACAATACAGTTTTATTAAACTATATCAAGTGTTTAATATCAAGTTCTAGGAAACCTAAATTCCTACACGGCCACCAGCGTGACGTTAGGAGGGTCCTTGGGAAATAAACACCCAGATCCTGAACAATTATCTGTGGGTCACACAAATACTTGTGACCTTTGGGAATCGAACCCACGACCCCCACGCCGAAGCCACGCAATAGCTTAGCTACGGTGCCACCTAGTCATCCCAATTATCGATTCCAATGAAAAATAATATATTTCAAACATAGGATCATTCACTTGGCTGTACGCGTCCACCACCAACACATACATAAACATCACTGAAATTAAACGCCATAAGCAATGAACATAATGTTCAAGTAATAACCGCCGCCTATTGATATATGCAACACCCGTAGGGGTTGCAGATGAGGTGTTAGGCAGACCTTTTAATAAAGTGGGCCCCGGCTACCTCACTCACCAGACGAATCGCAGAAGTATGACTTCCACTTCACGCCGGTTATCTTAGTGGTCGTGGTATTTCTACTACCCGGACGGACCTGCCCATTCGTGCATCAGTAAAAACTGTTGCTCGGCTCTGCCGAAGTTGTGGAAATATACAATATAATGTGATGATTTTATCAACTTCCTTTGTCGATTTTTACAAGATCAAGAAAAAAGTTTCTAAAGTACAAGATTTCTATCCACAGACTAGTAACTTATCATTTTTCAAAACATCTATTCACGGCCTATACAATGTTTTCGAGTGAAACTGTTCTTTACTTAATAAATAAACTCGTTATTCGATGTTAATTGAAAATTGATATAAGCGTTACTTACTCCACTCTCATTGCACAATGAAGACATAAGCAGTCGTAATGTTGCCCCTACTATTTTCTCTTATTTAAATGTCGACTTTTCTTTATTCTTTTCTTATCCTCCTTTAGTTTTTATTCTGTGGAGATTATTAATTAGGGTTATTGTTTTTTTCTTATCTCTTAAAATATTATGTTTTCCTATTTATTGATTGCGACATGGCTCACTGTAAAAATACTGCACGGTCATATCTAGAGCGACATGTACCTATTTTAATTAAACTGATGGTACATGAATTACTAGAACTATAGTATAAATGAAATATGCTCTAAAGAACGGTAGGTCGAAGATGTACTATTCATCAGTATAACTTCGACAGCTGTAGCGGAATACACGACCGCTAAAAACCGGTTAAATTCTTGACTCTCAGGATACGACCGTATTGATTGACATTTATTCGTGTAATCTGACCTACTGTTCGGAGCTGTATACTTTCCTTTTGATATGAAAACGCCTTTGCATCGTTCGTCAGTTTCATTTTTTTTTTCAATAGCAAATATTCATGGAGCGATTTAATTTATCTTTTATTTTCGTAATTTCTCGATATAATGTACATTGCCATGTCAGGAAATTAGGCAGTATTTGTTTTCCACATTACATCGACCTTTTTAAAGTCCCAAATGTCCAAAGTCGATAGTGGTGTGCTTCGATAACAATAAAGGTAACACATTTATTATTGCATGTAAGAATATCTAAATATAGTGCATTTTGTGCAACCGACTTCTAAAAGAAGGAGGTTGGAACCGACACCCACAAGACCCATGGCACGAAGCTTACATTTTAGCAGTTGCGCCAACTGTCTGAGTTTATTTGATTATGTATATTTTGTAATTTATTATTACTTCTCTCTCTCGTAAGATCTCGAGTGCGTACGGAGCGAGCCGTGCGTGCAATTTCGATTATTTCCAGTGCACGTCTTGGCTTGGCGCCAGGCGGTTTTTTCACAATCGGCGTCATATCATTTTTTTTTCTTTACGGTACGATACGGACGTGGTATTTTTAAAGCGCCTAGTGAATCACGTCCACTTTGGCCGAAGGGAACGATGTGGAAGTTGGGCCATAATTCTGGGCTTCTGCGAATCTGTTCACTATTAAATTGGCTCGCTTCAAGAATCCAACGCGAACGGTGTAACTTTTCAATTAACTGTGGTAGGGCCACGCAACAGTCTTAGCTGTTGCACGAATGAGCAGTTCTGTCCGGCGAAGTACCACGATAAGAGACAGCTTGAAGTGGAACTGCGTTTCTTCTGGTGTTTCAGGTAACCGGAGCCCACTTGATGGAAAGGTGGCAACGCATCTGCAAACCTACGGGTGTCGCAAATGTTCATGGGTGGCGGTTATCGCTTAACGTCAGTTGAATCGACAGCTCGTTTGCCAACCGCTAATATGAAAATACACAGTTGATAAACATACAGTTGGTTCACCTGATGCTAAGTGAATACCGCTGCCCATGGACATCGACGGCGCCTGTGGGCTTGCGGATGTGTTGACAACCTGGTCACCTCGCTCACCACACTAAACGCGAAAGTGTAATATTTCGATATCACGGTGGTCGTCTGTGAGGTCGTGGTACCACCCCGGACAAGCATGCCCGTTTGTGCAATGGCAGGGGTCGTTGGCCCCATCACACAACGAGATTTCAAACAATGACGTGTTTGTGTGATGAGCCCTTCGTAACATAATATTTTTCCATATTGATAAATATTGAATATTTTAAGGACACAAAATATTTTAGGACACATTTTTAAATAATGGTCTCTAGTCCCAAACTAAGCTACGAACGTTTGTACTATGGGTACTAGATAACTGATAAACATTTTTTGTAAATAAATACATGTTATACATATACAGAAACTGGAAAATCATTGATCATCCCACAATATGTATTATATGCATTCCATAATATGCATACCAGTAGTGGGGATCGAACCCACACCCTCTGGCACAAAAGGCGGGTTCGCTACCCACGCCAATCGTCTTGTCGCCTCGTATTTTATGCAAATTGTAAACATGGTGAAATGATTTTTCAGATTTCATCTTGTTTAATTTTTGATTTTAAATTCCTGACGTTTCGATTACTTCTCAGCGTTCATGGTCACGGGTTTTTCAGCCAACGGGCTTCAATACCCACTGGGCTATTAGTGTCACCACAATTGTATTTTATAGTAAATACCAGTCGCATTCTATGTGGATACTCGTGCGTATCTCTTACTTGGTATCTAAATCCACGAACTCTGAACTATTATGCTGTAACAATAACAGCTCCTTTATCAGAGCCCCGGCGGCGATAATAGATTCACTTAGCTAATGACAGCCACTTAGTTTTCTCGTTTCCCCTGCATCTAGAATTACATACTTAAAAGTACAGTAATTGGAGAATTTAAGTATGACATACGATATATTTTGCAGTCTTCTAGTTCAAGAGCTATTTCGCTACAGAAGCGAATCTCTTATCTTAAACTGTATTTATTTATTTATATTAGTATATGACTCATGGTACAATAATTATCTTTATTTTTAAAAAAAAACTTATTATCTTACAATTTGTTTATTAAACCTTATTATACGTATGATTTTGTTTTCATTTTAGATATGGGGTGACCTGCGGGAGGGAATCGAGCAAGTCTACAAGAGACAGCATATGGTGAAACAAAGATATATCTACTTGTATACGTATCCTTTTTCACAATCATTTAGTCTGTGCCTATACAATAAAGTTTTTTGTTTGTATTATATGACTTCGTATAGCATTCGTTCGAATTCGTCAAGGCTGGTTAGTTTATTTCTTTCGACCATAGTTTAGATATAAATCATACTTTCACATGTGTTGTATGTCAAGAAAATACTCTTCACTGACATAAAGATGTAGATCCCACAGGTTGTCACTCAACTGATGTCTGTCAACGTCTTGTCTCATAATAAACTGCCCTCCGAACCTTTGGTAACTTACTAACTTATCTGTCCAATGTTTATGTAAAATTCGACGTTTCATAAGACCAATACGTGCTCACACCACGGACTATCCAATATTTATGTAAAATTAGACGTTTCATAAGACCAATACACCCATACATATTCCCGTTGTGTGAACCACGATACGTTTCCTTAGCCCGCCACAGGCACGTGTATAACTACTGCACTTCTGTGCACCAGCAGAGCAACAGCGTCGCCCCCGGCAGGGGCGCCAACAACAGCTACGGACGTAACAACTTCACCGGCAAGAAGCAGGTAACGAAACGAAAACGAAACGAAACCGAAACGAAAACGAAACGCAAGCACCCAAATGTGAAAGGTTGCCAAGCGAATAGGCGGTTCACCTGATGTTAAGTGAATACCGCCGCCTCTGGACATCTGCTACAACCGGGGGTTGAAGATGCGTTTATAACCTTTTGAAAATTGGGCTCCGGCTGCCCCACTCACCAGACCAAACGCGAAGGTATTTATTATACTTCCACTTCACGCCGGTCTCCCGTGAGGTCGTGGTACTTACCCGGACGGGCTTGCCCATTCATGCAGCAGCCGCGGCTGCTGCGTGGCCCTACCACAGTTTTTGGACTACGCAATTGATTGAAAGTAACCGACGTAAGCACCCACGAACTCTAAACAATTGTTTGAAACTCACTGAAGCAAGCAACCACGAACTCCAATCCATTAAAATCCTGCAAATTAAATCATCGCGTAATCCATTCGGAATATTCAAACTTCCACGGGGTCTAGTCAAAACGCAACCACGAACTCGAATCCATTAAAATCCTGCAAATTAAATCGTCGCGTAATCCATTCGGAATATTCAAACTTCCACGGGGTCTAGTCAAAACGCAACCACGAACTCGAATCCATTAAAATCTTGCAAATTAAATCATCGCGTAATCCATTCGGAATATTCAAACTTCCACGGGGTCTAGTCAAAACGCAACCACGAACTCGAATCCATTAAAATCCTGCAAATTAAATCATCGCGTAATCCATTCGGAATATTCAAACTTCCACGGGGTCTAGTCAAAACGCAACCACGAACTCGAATCCATTAAAATCTTGCAAATTAAATCATCGCGTAATCCATTCGGAATATTCAAACTTCCACGGGGTCTAGTCAAAACGCAACCACGAACTCGAATCCATTAAAATCCTGCAAATTAAATCGTCGCGTAATTCATTCGGAATATTCAAACTTCCACGGGGTCCAGTCAAAACGCAGCTTTTGCGTCTTCAGCGTGGTTCCATCAAGTGTGCCCCCTCACTCGCCAGACGAAACGCAGAAGTGTAACACTTCCACTTCGCGCCGGTCATCTCAACGCAACAGTGGCAACGCTTCTACAAACCTGTGAGTCCTTGACATCAGGTGAGCTGCCGGCTCACTTGCCACCTTCTCACATAAAATAAATAAAACTTTAAAAATTTCTATTATAAAAATAGGCTTTCTTCTCTCTCGAACCTACTGAGGACGGATTCAGTGAAAATGCTTTGTTTGCCTACCTGAGTGGCGGGCCTGATTTTATTACATAAATTCATGTAAGCATAAGCGAACCTTATACGAATGACTGACTACTCCATTACAATGACACTAATTTTAGATCCTATGCCTGTCTCAAGGCTGTGCGGCCATATGATTAAATATTGGAATATTGGCATATTTAATCATATGGCCGCACTCGGAGACCAACATTAAATTCGTTGCTGGTTAAGTGTAACAGCTGCTTCTAATGATTTACCATCCAATTTACTTGCGAAATCGTTACCACATATGTTTTATGAACAAACGCCAGCAAGCGGATAATTGAATTGCTACTCCTCAGATACACTGCACAACAACTTTTAATTTCCAGACCGGGCATACGCAAGGCGGCGCGCAATTCGTCGGCCTGGAGCTGTACAAGAGACTGCGCGAATTCCTTAGACTCTACCTTATCAATTTGTTGAAGGTAATAACGAATGAATGAATACTTTATTGTCCACCACACAAAAGGATACACAAAATTGACAATAGACAAACAAATTAATGGAATGCACAATTTGGCGGCCTTATCGCTTCATAGCGATCTCTTCCAGGCAACCAATGGCGTATAGGAGGAACGTTTACTATGTAGGTGGTGCAATGGTAACATACATTATATATGGCTCAATCAAATGCACACAAAATACATACATGTATACACATACACACTCATAAATACATATTTATATACATATATGAATGTATACACATATGATATACAAAGAGATGCTAAATCAAACAAATAGGTATTTGTTTTAACATAAACCGGAGGGTTGCTATTAGGCTTTGTGCCTTTTTGTGGACACCATATTGAAACAATAAACTAACCTATAGTATAAATTGGTTGTGTATATCATAATTACAAAAAATACGTGTTTGTACTTGTGTACATAAGTACAAACACATATTATTTTTAATTACTTAAGGAGTTATACTTCTTTCTTTAGTAACAAAAGAAAAATAATTAAAAAATTATATCCAGTGTGCCAGTACTCTTTGTTGGTGAAAAAAAGATATTGAATGCAATTTATAACGGTTTAATTTCCCAACTTGGTATTTATAGGTAAATGTCAAAAACTTGTTATCCGTTGCTTTAGTAATACCATGACGTTGGTGTCGCTTTTAGTTGTAACGCATCGAAAAAATTCCCTGTCATCATATTACCTAAATGCACCAATAAGAGCTTCAATTATTCTGTAGATGTCCACTAATTCAATAATATAACAACAGAATGGATCCGATCTCATGGGTGAGGATGTGCTGGCTTTCTACACCAAGCAGTGGGAGGAGTACCAGTTCTCCTCGCGGGTCCTCAACGGAGTCTGTGCCTATCTCAACAGGCATTGGGTGAAGCGCGAATGTGAGGAGGGTCGAAAGGTAAATTGTTTGAGAAGTTGAGAAAAGCTGTTTTATATGTGATGGAATATTCCATATCACATACCTGATGGTGTATAGTTAATATTTATTACTTGTACACATACAAAACATTGTGTTTGTACACACTTAAGAAGTTATACTTCTTAAGCATAACAAAATAAAAATAAGTAACAATCTAACAATAATCAAATATTGTGGTGTTTACAAGTATTTAGACTTGTAAACACCACTATAAGTCATTGTAACATTTTATCCTATCACTTTTTCATGGTCTGGTTCATAACTCATCTATTTATTATATAAAATGAGCATTTATCTGTATAAAATGTATTTATCCTAACATTTAAACAATTTTAGATATTATAGTATTGGCAAAGCCCAGTGATTTCTGTGTCAAAATTAGTTACTATATATAGTGTTACCAAAAATTATAATGTGTAGATGTTTGTAACCACACTGAAATACCCTGTGATGAGGCATTAACATACTATTATTAATACTTCAGGGCATCTATGAGATCTACCAGCTAGCATTGGTGACGTGGCGCGACAACCTCTTCAAGTGCCTCAACAAGCAGGTCACCAATGCTGTCCTAAAGCTAATCGAGAGGGAGCGAAACGGAGAAACAATAAACACGCGACTTGTATCCGGAGTAAGAATGATAGAATTATTATTATTATGTATATTACTTATCAAAGGCACTTTTCCTTCGATACGCCATATCATTTTAGTACTTTTTCTACTTCAAAGAACGCTAATGACAAGAAATACCCAAACAGTTTAAAGGAAATGATATCTTTGAAATTTCAATTGAGATTCGAAGAGAGGTGGCTCTACCAGGAAAGTACCAATGCTGTTTAGCCCATAATAAATCCACCTTATTTTCGGCAATTTCATGTGCAATTCTTACTAATATTATAAACGCGAAAGTTTGTATGTATGGATGGATGTTTGTTACTCTTTCACGCAAATACTATTGAATGGATTTTAATGAAACTTTACAATAATATAGCTTATACATAAGAATAACACATAGGCTATAATTTATACACATATTCATATACATTATTTATATTTATATACATAGTCTGAATGTTACGCCTTCAGCCTATTCTACGCAGACTTAGTCGTGGGCAGCAGCTAGTTTTTAATAAAAGTTGATGTTTGAACTAATCCTAATAAAAGTTGGCATTTTATCTGCAAACCTACTGCGGTCATGGAAAACTTTTTACGAAAATCGGTCGAGTCGTTTCGGTGGAGTTCAATTACAAACACCGTGACACAAGGATTTTATATACTGGATAAATAAGCACATAAATGTATAAAAATAAATATACTCATTATTTTTTCCAGGTAATCAATTGCTATGTAGCCCTAGGCTTAAATGAGGAGGATCCTAGCGCTCGCGGCCAGAACCTAGTTGTGTACAAGGACACCTTTGAGGCTGTGTTCTTGGAGGACACCGAACGTTTCTACACGAGGGAGAGCACCGATTTCCTGAGAAACAGCCCCGTAACTGAGTATATGATTAAGGTGGTATATCAACTGTTGTAATTGTTTAAATTACAAAAATCGTGCGTAGTTGAGACTTACAGTAGCTTCGATAATTTGGCCAATTCTTTTATAACTGATGAGATTAGTTAGGCAGTGATAGTACTAAATAAAAACGAATCTTAACATTTGTTTATAGAATTCAGGAGAAAAGTGGAAAAATATTAAAAGATATACAATCAACCATTAAAATGATGATTTTATTCTTAAATAAATTTGTGAAGATGTATTTAAAAAAAAAAGGTAAGACAGTAAAGTTTGATGCCTGATCATCTCCGGACAGGTCAAGTTTAGTGAACAGCTGGTAGTTTTTTGACGTTCAATAAAAGCTTACAATAAGCCTATAATCAAATAAAGAAATGATGACGACCCGTTTGGCGTGGAGAGTAGTGACCTTGCCTCTTGCGCCATAGGGTGCGGGTTCGATCGCCACTACTGGAAAAATATTGTGTGATGATCATCATGCTTTTCCAGTGTCAGCGTGTCGTTACCATCGCGACAATAAATGAACACGCGTCTAACGCTACTTGCCAATAATCATAAAAAAATGTTAACGTTAAACAAAATCCATAATTTAAAAAAAATATTTTTCAAACAAACTAAGTAAAAAAGAAACAAACATTTGTAACACCTATACAACTCGCGTCACAGCGTTGCATTACAAGCCTCTCCTTCTATCAGTATGTTTTTCTCTTTTAAATTCATTCAACCCATTCATATGCTTTGTATACAAATGAACTTTATGTTACAGTTTTATACGTAAGGGTGTTCTAAAATTCTTTGTTTTGGAAAATTTAATAACTCTGTAAATATTGATGTTTAAAGAATGTAAATGTTTAATACAATTTTAAAAAGTTATCCCCTATATGTATGTTCATTTATTGTCGCGATTGTAAAGACACGCTGTATATTATATATAATATGTATTTATTTACAAAAGAACAGAATGTTTAAGTATGTTTATCAGTTTTCTAGTACCCATAGTAAAAGCGTTGCTTAGTTTGGGACTAGAGAATGTTGTGTAAACAATGTGTCCGAAAATTTATTTAAATTGTGATTTTGATTTGAAAGCATTTCAAAGCATAAATCACTTTAGAAAACAGCCTATAAATTGAGCTTTTTATCTGCAGGCCGAACAGCGATTGCAAGAGGAGCAACGGCGCGTACAAGTGTACCTGCATGAGACAACAGCAGAGAGATTGGCCAAGACCTGCGATCGGGTGCTCATAGAGAAGCATCTAGAGATTTTCCACGCCGAGTTTCAGGTGCGTTGCTAATTGCACAGACGAGAACAGATGCTTAAATAAAGCAAATATAAAAAGACTCTATTTAAAATTATGATAATTTTAATACTAAAACATTAATCGATAAAGCTGAATTGTTGCACTTTAACTTTTAAAATGAAGTAAGTTTGTTTAGAAACTCAGATTATCGTCATTTTACCAAATGACCGGTGCGACATACAGACAGTATACTTTTAAGATATTTTATTATATGGCAATTATTAACTTAGGTTGTAATAAAATAAAATATAACATAACTAAGTTTCATTCGATTCTACTACTTCATTTATTTGGTCGACGTTAATACACATACGATATTTGGTTTCGTGTGTGCGTAAATAAAAAAAATATAAACATCTGTAAGATAACCCTATTATATAACAAATGGAGTATGTGATAAACATTTCGAAAAATACGGTGAGTATTATGATTATTGTATACATAATTACTTGTTTTAAGATGGGTCTTATATTGATAAATCTATTACTGATAGTGTTTGAAATGTGATTGAGCGGTTAATAATTCATATTACCTCGTTTATTGCTTTCTAAACCGTTCCACATCTTTCGTGAACCCCCATTTGTCTAACGACGAATAATAAGAGACGCTAACAAGTTTTCTTGTTTCCTTTCCACAGAAACTCCTTGACGCCGATAAGAACGCCGACCTAGGCCGCATGTACAGCCTGGTGGCTCGCATACCGGACGGCCTATGCGAGCTGCGTCGCCTACTGGAACAACACATCCACGTGCAGGGTCTGCAGGCGATCGACAAGTGCGGCGAGAGTGCCCACACGGTAGTAACACAACACTGCTTACCTTGTATTGCACCATTATCTTGACAAAATAAATGTAAGAGCCACGCAATAGCCTCGGCTGTTGCACGAATGGGCAGGCTCGTCCGATTAAGTACCGCGATCTCACAGAAGATCGGCGTAAAGTGGAAGTATAATACTTTCGCGTTTCGTCTGGTGAGTGAGGTAGCCAGAGCCCAATTTTCAAAAGGTTGTCAACGCATCTACAACCCTCGGTAGTAGCAGATGTTCATGGGCGGCAGTATTCACTTAACATCAGGTGAACCGTCTGCTCGCTTGACAACTTATCACATAAAAAAAAAGTCGACCTCAATGATGATAGGATTTTAGATTTTCTACAAGTTTTAAGGATTAGATTATGTTATGGACTATGAATGAAACAAATTTTACGGACTTATCGTGTTTATTTTAATTTGAATTCCCGAAGTTTCGAACCCTTTACAGAGTTAATGGTCACGCGACAGACTGATGCGTTGGACGTCTGAATGTCATAGTTAACCAGGGCTACCGTCAGTTTTTGAATTATTTGTTTTGTGTTCGATCTATGATCTACTGGAATTAAAATTAAAATAATCGCGATAAATCCGTAAAATTAGTTTTTTTTTGTATTTGTGTATTCGCGTAAATACATGTAGAGGAAATCATTTTGGAATGTTAATATTGTTTACAAACGTCTTTATTCAGCGTTGTTTTTTATATTCAATATGATTTTAAAAAGTTTATAAGTTTGGGAATTTAGAAGTGATATTTTTTTTCCCCCCAGGACCCGAAAGTATATGTATCGACAATTCTTGAAGTGCACAAGAAGTATAACGCGCTAGTCCTCGTAGCTTTCAACAACGATTCGGGCTTTGTGGCAGCTCTCGACAAGGCCTGCGGCAGATTCATCAATAGTGAGTGTTGATTCCTCATTCATTACACAAACAATTACAAGTAAAAAGTAAAGTATCAGCCTATACCTTTCCCACTGCTGGGCAAAGGCCTCCTCTGTACAGAGGGTATCAGGGCATAGACCAGCACGCGGCCCCACTGCGGATTGGCGGATTTCATATATTATCTTCAAAATATTTTCTTATTTTATTATTTCGAGAATATGCAGGTTTCCTCACTATGTTTTCATTCACCGCTAAGAAATAATAATTTAGTACTTAAAATTAAAAATTTCATTGATGCTGGCATCGGGGATCGAACTCGGGTTGCTCAAGTATATTGAATTAAAGGCGCCGGGACACTGAGCTATCACGGCTATATCAAGGCTATATCTTACAAATGAACTCATCATTGAAAAAATACTGATATGAACCAGTATAGCCTTAGGCTTAAAGGAACACCATTCCTACATTTTATTCATAAATGAAGCTAATAAATATATAAATCAAAATAGTATATAGGTATCTATTGCTTATATGTGATGACATTATATGTAAATTATGTTAGTTAAGTCACCTGTCATCTCATAATCACTGAAATTTTTCTCTACGAAAGTTGCACGACTCTATATCCGTTTTTTTGTTACAGGCAATTCTGTGACAAAGGCTGCGAACTCTTCTTCAAAGAGTCCGGAATTGCTCGCGAAGTACTGCGATTTGTTACTCAAGAAATCGAGCAAGAATCCAGAAGATGCAGAATTGGAGGACACACTCAACCAAGTGGTTAGTTACTCAAAACAATTACGGTTTTCAGTATCAGTATCAATGTAAATATTTGTTCTAAAACACTTTATAAAGATTAGATTGTGTTGATTATCACAAATTTAATTCTAATATTTTTTAATCTTATCTTTGATTCATAAATCTTTATGGGGAGAGGAAAGGGATCATATGGCAACACACTGATATTTATTGTTGTTATTATTATCTTCCAGATGGTGGTATTCAAGTATATTGAGGACAAAGATGTGTTCCAGAAGTTCTACAGCAAAATGTTGGCTAAGAGGCTTGTGCAGCATATGTCTGCTAGTGACGACGCAGAGGTATAACTAATGATTCATTTTATGTTTTTATTATTAAATAAAATAAAAAAAAAGTAAGCTGCAACAGACCATCACATTGTCAGAAGCTTTTAAACTTTTAATTTTAATTTTTTATCTTCCCTGAAGTCTTTTTCACCATACATATAATTTTATTCCAGGCATCAATGATCTCAAAATTGAAACAGGCTTGTGGCTTTGAATACACCAGCAAGTTACAAAGGATGTTCCAAGTAAGTGCCACCTCCAACTTAACTTAAGTAGGTCCACTTAGATTTTTTTTTAAATTATTATACTACTTGTATTTTTCTTAAGTAAAAAGTTCCAAACATGTAGGACCCTAGTGATCATCGCCATATGTGTACATCTAATACTTTATGGGTTTCACTTAATTTCACTCATCAAACAATATGCAAAAGGATAATACTCCAAGTTCCCATTGGTGTTCTGTGAAGCTATGGCTTTTTCTCACATATGGCAACATATAAATCTTAAAGTAAACTGCTACTATGTTATATACACAACAATACATAATAAGCGAGTTAAAGAGCAAGACAATAACGTGAATAGCTTTTAATTTGGACAAATGCGTTATATTCTCATTGGTTAGACCTGTAGCTTAATTATAGTCCTTGACATTAAGCTCGCTACAATGTTGAAATCCACTCCAACAAAGCTATTACCAGCCAGCAATATAGTATTACAATTGTAATGTTTCAGGACATTGGTGTATCAAAGGACTTAAATGAGAACTTCCGCAAGCACATGGCCAACACCTCAGAGCAACCGCTGCATATTGACTTCAGCATACAAGTTCTGTCCTCTGGCTCGTGGCCATTCCAGCAGTCATCATCCTTCCAGTTGCCAACCGAGGTAAACTTTAATTCCAATGGATGTGAAGATTTTTAATATTATGAAGTAGTTATCACTTGGCAGTGACCAGGTTAACAAATTCAATTCAGAAGACTGTGTATTGAAATGTAAATTTAATGAACAATACTATTATGTAATATTGCTTTGAAAGTATTGTTTAATTATGATGGTTATTGCAGAATACTTTGTTAGATTTCATGTCAGTAGGTAATATAGGTAACCAATAAACTCATTATTATTATTATTACTCAGTTTATGGAAAATAAAAAAAATATCATTGTTATTTTTAATTTTGCTATTCAATATTGATAATATTTATACCAAACTCATTTAAAAAGTTAATTGAGTTGCAGCATTTATTTCTTAATGTTGTTCTTACTTGCTTACCTATATATATTGGCAATACTTATATCTGCATGCCATCTTATGCAGATATACTTCTTTATTTTATATTAACCAAATATAATATAATATAAATGAAAACTAATGGAATAAAAGAAAGCAAAAACTTTTAAAATTCATCACTTCTACTGTGTGTTATGATGAGTTTCAAGAAAAGAAAGATTAAATTAACCTTCAAATGCATTACAAATGTAAATGGTTAGTCAATTCAAAGTAGTTTCTTATCCTGATTAATTCCTCCTTATATTTTAGGCCCATGTTCTGCCTTTCCTCATATTAAAAGACTTCAAATGTTAAAAAATAAAATTCTGCAAATGTTATAATGCTCACGAAACCACATACTCAATACAAAAAATCACAATAAATGTCACATGTCTCTTCTTTGACATGGAGCACCCTTGTTATACATTGGTCATTGACCTGGGTTTGTTTTTCGGAGTATGGAAGAGATCAGGCACGACCACATAAAGGGGCAAGAATCTTATAAAGTTAAAAAAACATGAATGAACATGCATGCATATGCTGTTACTTGCCCTTTTTTTCGTATGCCGTCATGTTTGGACCTGTATTAGCGCATTGTGCAGTAATACCTTTTGAATTTTGTCATTAGTTGGAGCGTTCAGTACACCGATTTACGACCTTCTATTCTTCTCAACACTCGGGCCGAAAGCTCAACTGGCTCTATAACATGAGCAAGGGTGAGCTTGTCACCAACTGCTTCAAGAACAGGTGACGAAACATTTTATTTTCTTCTTCATTATACAGCGTGTCGTTACCGCCACGACAATAAATGAACACACATATAGAGGATAACTTTTTAAAATTGTATTAAACATTTACATTCTTTAAACTTCAATATTTACCGAGTTATTAAATTTTTCAAAACAAACAATTTTAGAACACCTTACATATAAAACTGTAACGCAAAGTTCATTTGTAAAGATCACAAAGCATATGAATGGGTTGAATGAATTTAAAAGAAACAAAACACTGTGAGAAGGAGAGGCTTGTAATGCGACGCTGTAGCGCGAGTTGTATAAGATGTTACAAATTTTGTTTCTTTTTACTTAATTAGTTTGTTTTTTTTTTTAATATTTTTTTTAATTATTGATTTTGTTTAACGTTAATATTTTTTTATGATTATTGGCAAGTAGCGTTAGACGTGTGTTCATTTATTGTCGCGATGGTAACCACACGCTGTATATAAATATGCGACCAAGCTGTTTTAATTAACATAGTAATTGTTTAACTAGAACAGCTTGATAGCATATTTTTATACGCTTACTTAATAAATGAAATGAATAAATTTAAAATATAAATTAATTTTCAGGCTTCAGCTTAAGAAGAATTTTAGATTTTAATTGCACTGACTATCTTGTGTTCATCTGTTTAACAATAACAACAAAGAAAGATACAAAATTTTCATGAAAGTGACCCAGGCACAGGTTTAATGGGGGAACATTTGTTCGAAATAATAAATAATAATACAAGTAATCCTGATGTTATTTCCCATTGCATTTCTTTCCACTTTACAAATGATCACATCGGCTGAATCTTCAATACACCCGCTCTCAATATATATTTCCTCATTGTGCTATTACACATTTAGAGAACTACCATCAACTATCCATATTAGACTGTAGATCTTATTTGCTGGTTTTTCAGAACTGGTCTAAACCAAGTTTCTAACAGGTGAACTCGTGAAACGCCAAATTGGAAATAGAAAATAATGAAATATTACTCGACTATAATGCTAACTGACGTTCAGTGGTGATTTTCAGTCTATTATAATTTGTAATGGTTCAAATGTTACATCGTTCCAGATACACCCTGCAAGCGAGCACCTTCCAGATGGCCGTGCTCTTGCAGTACAACGAGAACACCTCGTGGACGGTGCGCCAATTGGAGCAGCACACCGGAATCAAGGGAGATTTCCTTGTACAGGTATTGCCCAAATCCCGAACTCATCATCACCTATAGCATGGCTCAAATCCGGAGCTCATCAGGACATATATGAGCAGAATTCACAACCGTCATACTGCGTCCAAATCCGGATCTGGAAAAACCATTCATTTGAGATTCATTTAAGAATGAATACTTTGGCATTAAGGTGTTCGATGTTTGATGTGTTAAATCTTTGAATTGGAAAATTAGCTGTTTGATATTTGGTGATGTTTGTATGAGTTAACTTTCTATTGATTTAGCCAGTATAGTGGTAAGCCTTTCAATCGGATTAATCCTAACCAACCGGAATTGTTTTTGGATACGGTTTCAGATGAAAATCGCTTGCGCTCAGTATAGTTCAATAATCAAATAATCAAATTCAAATAATCACCTAATGTTCAAATTAGCTGCTGTCTACCAATAACAAATCTAATATGTATAGTGTTTAAGACCAATTTAGTTTGTGCTCAGTCCGAAACTGATTACAGACAACACCTCTTCAGAGGGTTTTGCATATCGCTAATTAATTCAAACAAAGAGCTTAGCCGTATAAGCCGTATCGTCTGGTAAGGCTGCTGGTACTAAAAATACCCGTCTAATAACCCTTTCAAGTGTAAGCGGTTCCAGGCCCTGATCCAAATCAATAATGGTTATAATATATAATTTTTAAAAAGCAATGGCGACATGTTGTTCGGATTATCGTTGTTAAATGACATTCGAAATTATTTGTATGCTGTAAAGGACATAAGAAAGTATGCGCCAAGCATTGCTTCAAATGCTAAAAAACAATGAAGATAAAAGAAATTGAGATTATCGTCGCTGTGGCAGGCGTCACGGTGCGAATCCCGAAGATGTGAGTTCGATTCCCACGGTGTCAAAAACTTTTCGTATTTTTTTTTACAAATTTTTAATCAATAATGGTTATGCTGACAAAATGACAATGAAAGTACAGAGCAAATAGTCAACCATAGCTTTATCTCGTACATGTCTTGTACTGTTATATCACCACTTAACATTAGGAACGATAGTAGATGCGCTTACTAGTTTTTAGTGAATTAATTTAGAATTTATCTCGCAGGTTCTGCAAATCCTTTTGAAGGCGAAACTATTGGTGTGCCAGGACGACGAATCTGAACTGACGGAGTCTTCTGTTGTTGATCTTTACCTAGGCTATAAGAAGTAAGTAATTGTCTACACATAAATTTATTTCCTTATAGTAAGTAATCTAGACTGTGTTGTTTGATATTAACAACTATACAGCTTGCCCTTCTTCTCGACGGGAAGACACAAAACTGATAAGTAGTACTTAGAGAAATTGTTGTTTCTCATAACTTCAATAGCTTTACATTAAATGAATATATTTAGATAAGGGCCAAGTGTATAAGAAATAAAACTAGAAGAATTAATTAAAATCTATTGCGTTGTTGTTCCTTGATGCGCGCACAATAGCAGCCTTTATCATATTATACTATAATAACTAAAAAGATACTTTCATTTTATATGAATTAATTTTGGCCTTTGTTACTTGGATACGATACGATATAGTTTTTTTAATTACTCGAATGATTTTGCAGATCAATTATTGTTTTTTAAATTGACTAATTTCACCTCTTTTTAATATTGTCATGTTTAATTTTATAATAACGACTGTTGCCCGCAGCAAAAAGCTACGAGTAAATATCAATATACCGCTTAAGACGGAGTTAAAGGTGGAGCAAGAGGCAACACATAAACACATTGAGGAGGACAGGAAGATGCTTATTCAGGTATACCCTAATATATAATTTTATTGAATCCTTAAATGTGTAAAAAGCATATCTTGTCTGTTCGTTTATTATACTTAATATATATCACTGAACTATGTAAACAGTGTGTGTAATTGTTTTTAGATTAACACAATATTCAATTTGTAATAAGTTTTTAATTTGTAAAAGCTACCTTAATGGCAAGGGCCTACTATAATATCCAAGAATACATTGAGGACAAGGATGTTTGGAAATGACCCTTGCTCTGCACTTGCAAGAACCCTGGCTGCTGCTGATTTTATACCTAAATAAATGTGTATAATTGCAGCAAAAAAAAAATAACAAAAAGAACAAGACCGCAGAGTTTCTTGCCGGTTCTTCTCTGTGCAGGTCTAGTTTAGTGAACCGGTGGTAAATTTTTTGTTGACGTTCAATAAGAGCTTAAGTTAGGCCTATATTGAATAAATATACTTTGACTTTGAATTAAGGTTAATTATAAATCATTAACATAGAATCATGCTTAAAAATACAAAACCAACATGAAATCGCCTAAAATATATAAGTGATTAAGATATCATTTTAGTATTACAGTTTATTGTATTTCATTAAATTTTCCAGGCGGCCATCGTGAGGATAATGAAGACGCGCAAGACCCTGAAACACCAGCATCTGGTTGTGGAGGTCCTTAACCAGCTTTCCTCACGCTTTAAGCCACGCGTGCCTGTTATTAAGGTATTGCCATTAAAATTTATAAGCGCTATTTATTGCCTTTGATAAGGGGTTCCACCATGGTAGTCTTGCGCATATTTGTGCGGACGAACCTGGAGAAGTGCCACAGCTTAACGGTTGTTGGACGTCAGACTGTTTGTATTTTTATGTTTTGTCTGGAGAGGTATCGATGGACCAGTCTAAAAAGTTGATAAGATACCTGCAATTCCACAAGCGTCTGGAAGTCTATGGAGGTTGTTTCTTAACATTAGGTGAAGCAAATTTTGATCTTGACTATTAGGGAAAAGAAGAAATTTCCAAATCAATTATTAGAATTACTATTTACTCTGATAATTATTTAAACAAGAAAACTTCCTAGCATTATCAATAATTACAGCTTTGTTATTATATAAATGACAATGTTTTAAATACCCAAGTTTGAAGATTCTTGGTTTGAGCAAGGTCACATAGAAGGAGCAAACGCTTTTAACAAGCTTCGAAGAATTGTATTATTTCTTAGTGTATTATTTATTATTGCTCATTTCTTAGTGTCGTTCATATAAACAGATTAATAAACATCGATTCGTTTCGTTTTCAGAAATGCATTGACATTCTCATTGAGAAGGAGTATCTAGAACGCACCGAAGGCGAAAAGGACACCTACAGCTATTTGGCGTGATGCGTCCAATCTAATCCACAACTATATGTTAATAAATAATTATAACAGTATTATATATGGCTTTTCTTGTACTCAAATCGCTGTTTACTAATTGTAACTTTAGTTTCGCAACCGTCCACTCGATTGGATTAGGATTAGCGTGGACTTTCATACTGCAGCTTTACACCAAGAAATTATATACATTTTCATTTTTAAAGCTGCAAAGAGTAATAGAATAGGACAGTGAACTAAGAAATATTTAAAACCTTGCCGTTAAGATTATTTTTTATAACATCGAACATCCAGAAAAGAATGTGGCGCTTCACTCCACACTCTTTTCGGGATTTACTTCTATTGTCCATTTGCGGAACCAGTCGCCGAGGCGGTCGGCGGCGCTTTGGAGACGAGTAGTGAGTTGATTAAGATTTTTATCTGTGTAGAAGAGCGCCATGTCATCCGCGAAAAGCGCGAGATTGACGTGCGGGTCTTTTGGTATGTCGCTCGTATAGAGCAAAAAAAGCAAGGGCGAAAGGTAGAAGCCTTGTGGAACGCCAGCCAGAATGGCGGCTTGTAGAAAGGGTGCCCTCAACTCGATATCGAAAAGAGCGGTTCGACTGGAAGGCCCGGATGGCGTGCACGAACCTATCTGGCACGTTGACTGCGAACAGACATGCTCGGCTGCATAGGCAAGAAGCTGAACTCGCGCCGCCGCCATTGCCCGCGCCGTCTGCGTCCGTTACCCCGTCGCCCTCCGCGACCTTAGAAGCCCCCGTCGCGTCGGCATCCGCTAACGCGAACCCGCCCGTAGCACCTTCCGTGCAACCAAACCCGACCTCTCTTCGCTCCGTCGTACCCGACTCACAATCGGACGGTGGATCGGACATGGAGGTCGAAACGACCCCCGCTGAAACGGCTTCACCGTCGTTAAATCGCGTAAAAAGGGCAAGAAACGCCCCGCTACCGACAGCGACCCCGAATGCGAGGCCGCCTCAACGATCCGTCTAACCGCGACGCCCGCTAAAAAGGCGGCCGCGGCGGCTAATCCGATGCCCGAATTCGCCTCCGAGCGAAAAATAAAGCCTCCTCCACCCATCATCATTCAGGAGAAGGCTAAGTGGCACCAAATTTGTTCGTGGTTTGAACGCCACAATATCCGCGACCCCCGGTCGAAAAAGACACAAATGGGTATCCGCGTATACCTTGACACAACAGACGATTTCCGCCGCGTAACGAAATACTTGCGCGAAAATAAGATAGGTTTTCACACCTACTCGTTGCCCGAAGAACGCAAGCTTCGGGTAGTTATCAAGGGCGTCCCCAAAGAGTCGGATGTCGACAAGGCGAAAACCGACATCCGCACTCAGGGATACCCTGTGCATGCCGTCCGACGCCTCAGACACCCCAGAACCCGTGTCCCTATGGACATGGTGATGGTTGAACTTGATCCTACCCCGGAAGGTAAGGCCATCTTCAACCTGAAGAGGGTCTGTGGGCTCAGTGACTTAGTCATCGAGCCCCCGCGTAAGTCAGGTGTTGTGGCACAAAATCAAAATCAAAATCAAAATATATTTATTCAAATAGACGCTTGCGCGCTCTTATGAATCGTCAAATTTTACATCAAAGATTATGTGTATAGGTTCGTAAGGTACCACCGGTTCGGAAAGCGGTTTCTGTTGAGAAGAGACCGGCAAGAAACTCAACAGTTGCTCTTTTTCAAAAATATCAGGGTACAATATAATATACAGGTATAATAGTCTTATTCTAGCCTACGTGAGTATCAACAGTATTAACTCCACACATTGGCGTCGTCGAGATATTCCGAAATGGTATAATATGCTTTAATCATCAGTTGATTTTTAATTTTACATTTAAATTGGTCAAGCGGCAGACTTAATATCGACTGTGGGATTTTATTATACATGCGTACACTTTGCCCCATGAACGACTTATTTACTTTTTGTAGACGAAACAATGGCGTAGTAAGTTTGTCCTTATTTCTAGTGTTTATTTTATGTCTGTCACTATTCTTTAGGTAATAATTAAGGTTATGACGTATATACAAAACATTACAATAAATGTATTGAGAAGCAACAGTGAGTATATTAACCTCTTTGAAAAGATCTCTGAGTGAATTCCGGGCTCCGATATTGTAGATTGCTCGGACAGCTCTTTTTTGAAGAATAAATATAGTATTTATATCTGGATGCACTACCCCACAACAAAATGCCGTACGACAAGATGCTGTGAAAATAACTAAAGTAAACAAGTCTGGCAGTGTCGATGTCTGTTAGCTGCCTAACCCTTCTAATCGCAAAAACCGCGGAGCTCAGCCTATTCGCAAGAGATGATATATGGGGACTCCACTGGAGCTTTGAATCTACTGTAATTCCCAGAAATACAGCAGACTCAACTGGATTAATGGGTACGTTATTTAATATTAAACTAAAACTTTTCCTTCTTATACTGGGAAGGGTAAAAAGAATACATCTGGTTTTTTTGGCATTTAATACCATATTATTAATAGTAAACCAGTGGAGGATATGTGAAAGCGCACTATTCCAGTGCCACAACTGTCAGCATTTTGGCCACACGGCCAATAACTGCTTCGCTCACCCAAGGTGCGTCATATGCACCGGTGACCACGGCACTACCGAGTGCACGCGGCCGAAAGATTGCGCAGATCCACCGGACTGCGTAAACTGTAATGCCACCGGCCACCCGGCTAGCTACAGAGGCTGCGCTAAGGCCCCCGAAAACTCCCGCGAGGAAATCTCCCGCGAAATCCACGTTGCCCAAACCCGCGCCCGTTAGATTCATTCCCGCGCCCGTACCCGTCACAAACGCCTGGACGAAACCCCAGGTGGCCGCGCAGGTAACCGCGCCGGTAATCCCGGTCGCCTCACGACCGATCGCACAACAGCTGCCCGCCTCTCAAAAGGCGCCGCGGCCGCAGGTGCAGCCAACTCCGTCAGTTTTCGCGGAAAACAAGGATGACCCATTCGCGCAAATCGCTAATATTTGCAGCTTATTAGATAGGATCAATAGGCAGGAACTCGCCGTATTGTCCGCTAAAATAGCGGCCGCCACATCTGGCCACGAGCGTCTTAGGGCAATTAGCCAACATAAAACGCTTGTGGAAGCCCTTTGGGCTTTTACGAGCCAACCGTAAAAGACAATAGTCCGCGCAATAAAACCGCGCTCCGCCGCGTCGTTAATTAGACCCATAAAAACACCTTAATGGGAAGTACAACCGCAGGTAGAACAAAACCTCGGGCTCTGGTTGTTTCGTATTTCAACGCAAACGGCATAAAGGGTCAAAGGGACGAAATCGCGGAATTCCTTCGCGATTATAACGTAGATATTTTTCTAGTGCAAGAGACATTCTTGAAACCTAGTGTACGCGATCCCAGAATCGCAAATTACAATATTGTCCGCCACGACCGGTTAGCAAACCGTCTGGGAGGCACACTAATTTATTATAAAAGGTCCTTGCACTGTTGCCCGCTCGACATTCCAGAGCTAAGTCAAATAGAGGCATCCGCGTGTAGGTTAGCGCTCACCGGCCACAGGCCGCTTGTACTAGTCTCAGCCTACCTCTCGGGGAACAAAACCTTATTACAAAGCGACCTAGTTACGCTACTCAACTTAGGCCCTTCCGTGATAATTGCAGGAGATCTAAACTGCAAACACGGTTCATGGGACATCCACAGCATCCCGAATAACAACGGAAAGCATCTCTTTAGCTTATCCGATAATTTAAACTTTAGCATAATCGCTCCTGCGACTCCCACTAGGTATCCTACGGTGGACAACTACCAACATGCGACACCGAGTATCCTAGATATCATGTTATTCAAGGAGGTCTCGCTCGACATCGAGTCGATAGAGACAATCCACGAACTAGATTCAGATCACAGGCCCGTCCTGTGTAAACTGGGCCAGAACGCCGGCGCGGTCCCTCCGACCAAATCCGTAGTGGACTGGCATCGTCTTGAGGTCAAACTCAAGGCCTTGGACCCCCAGGACTTAGTAGACTTACCCGAGACGATAGCTACGTTTGATGACGCAAATCGAGCGATAGCAAGTCTCCGAGAAACCATTAATTCCGCAGTCACAGACTCGGAACGGACGGTGAAACTGTCGGGCGACCGACGGTATAACTTTCCGCCCGACCTAAGACTGCTAATTAGACAGAAAAATGCAGCCAAACGCGCCTTCGACCGATACCGATCGGAATCGAACCGAACCCTACTTCGACGCCTTCAGCTAGAAGTCAAAGATCGTGTATCGGAACACCGACATACAACGTGGGACACTCTCCTAGAGGACATCGAGCCATCGCACACCGCCTACTGGCGGTGGGCCCGCAGTCTGAAAGTAGACCCCCGCGAATCTCTACCGCCATTAATTAGACCTAACAGCGCTTCAGTAGCCCTAGATGACTCCGAAAAATCCGAATGCCTTGCGGACAACCTAGAGCAGCAATGTACGCCATCGCGCGAACACACCGATACTGTCCACCTAACGGAGGTGGACCGTGTAATCGAGACTAGGGCTGCGCTTACACCGGAAGGCGATCCTTTAAGTTCAGTGACCCCCGAAGAGGTCCATGATATTATTAAAAATTTAAAACCGAAATCCGCCCCGGGCCCAGATAAGATCAGTAACAAAATTCTCAAAGCTCTCCCTGGGCCGCTTATCTGTTTACTGGCGACCATTTTCAACACTCTACTCTCCAGTTGCTCCTTTCCGGACGACTGGAAACAAGCCACGGTTATCGGCATTCGCAAGCCGAATAAACCAGCCAACCAGCCCTCTAGCTATCGTCCCATCAGCCTCCTCAGTTGCCTGGGGAAGCTCTACGAGCGGCTCTTATTAAACAGGCTCAAAGAGCACGTATTTTCCAACGGTCTTCTGCCCACGGAACAATTCGGCTTTCGAGCTAGACACTCTTGTCCCGACCAGTTATACCGCCTAACGGAGCACATCCTAAAAGGCCTAAACCACCCGAAACATAT